AGACAGAATATATATATATATATATATATATATATATAGATTGTGGGAAGTGTAGAAAAAAATTGAAAGTCCAGTAGCTACCTGCATATTTGATATGTTGGTGTTTATAGCGCCTTTTGCGTTAGGTTATGAAATGTTTTCTTTTCCCTGGTCATTGGATCCACATGCTGTGTTGCTGCCATATTGGCGCAATACCGTGCAACCCCACCAGGTACCCATTTATCCTTCTGGGTTCCACCCAGAAGGGAAAACGCAGATGAAGTACCTTGCTTAAAGACACAAGCAAAGTACAGTGCAATGGATAGAAATCCCAAATTTGAGGTTGGAAAACCAAACCAAACCACTGCTCCAAACTGCTTCCACGAACGTGTATTTTTTCACCATAGCATGAGGCGTTACATACTTTTACTGTTGTTAATCTATAGGGTATTTAATAATTGCAAACAAGAATCAATCATCATGTTTGTGACTAGCTTTTGGTGATGGTTATGAACAGTTTGTGTGGACTGCAGTCAAAGCAAGTTTCCAAATTGCTGATGATCAGTAGTGGAGAAGGATCACATAAGAATTAATCAGGCAGATAAAGTGAATTAGCCTGAAGCTGCTATTTTTATCAAACCGGAGTATCTTGCTGAACGTGGCCTTGTTTGTTTTTTTTTTTATGACAAATCCTTATTACCTTAACAGATTCAGATTTGAAAATACATCAAGACTTATAAAACGATTATAAGACCCAGGGGAAATTATAAAGCAGTGCCTACTAAAACATACACCCACCTATACTACTTCCATGAAAATATAATTTATAGTTATGGATTTTAAGAGAAACATAACAACATTGTAAGCCTGTTGGTGACACATTACTGTGGCTTGTATCACATTCATCGCTGGTTGTTTAAAAAAAATTGAAAATAATGCAACATTAAATAAATCTTTTACGCAAAGTAATAATATAAGATCATGGTAGATTGCTGCTCTGTTCTCTCTTGCCCTTCATAATCTTAAAAGTATTTAACATTAGTGCTCTTACAGTATTGTCAAGGGTCGCTTATTCAATGTTTGTTGTTTCCTGCTTGCGTCATTCTTTCACCTCCAGCCTCTTAAAATATTTTATTGATACAGTAAAACCTCTTCTTTGGGACACCCATATTAAGATGACATTCTTATTAAGGAGACATCCCTATTAAGGGGACATCCCTATTAAGGGGATATCCCTATTAAAGGGACACTTTTTGGCGACAAAACAAGGGAAAGTATATCTGTTAACAATTGGGTCAACCCCTATACAGGGGACACCTATTATGGGAACATTTTTTTGGTCCTGAAGGACTTACTGTATTTGAAAATTAAAATGAGAAAATCCACAATGGATGGAATTAATGAAGTGTTTTTTATATAGTAATGTCCACAATATAATACAGTGTTTTATTGAAGTACTTACAAATTTTTTACCCCTAAACATTACTGTACATCCATTAAACATTCTAAGTGTGAGAATATAGTAACATTGTTGTAAACAGCAGATGAGTGAACATCAAACATCAGTGCCATAGCATCATACCAGGCCCTAGGTGGTTAGAAACACACATACATAAAGTGCCTTTGCCCAATATTACAGTCTCAAAAAGAGATCATGGGATTGAATTCTACCTTAAGCTTGAGAGCCTGAACCGCACAAACACTGTACCAACCGCTTTCACATCATCAATTAAGTAAGAAGTCTGATACCTCTTATTCCCTTAAGCCGGGCACTCACTTGCGCACAATGGTCGTCGGCCAACGCGATTCTATAAACAATGCAATGCGATGGCGCGCATGCAATACCTTTTTAATGAGGATCAGGTCAGACTGCCACCGACAATCGGTAGACGGTGTTGCGTCGTCTATCGCTTACAGAGAGCGGAGTTGGTTTCGTCGTACGACGCAATGAGTCCCCGCCTTTACTCATCTCTCTTTTTTTAGACACCCATAATTAAGATCATGAATTGTTATATTTCTGAGATATATATATTTGGCATCATATGGCCAGACAGTATTACACTGTTACAGACATCAAATCCAGACACATGAAGTAAAAGCAGTGGAAAATAGTAGTTTTAGAGAAAATGCTTGAAGTAGTGCAAATGAATACTTTAGTCTCGACTGGTCACATTCATACAATCCATCACATCTGACTCTCTAGAAGAGTTAAAAGGCCAAGAGGAGGTGCCAACACCACTTGGGTAAAATCAATTGAAGGCACTAAAGAGACGATTCAGTGAGTAGATGCATAATTTAGCCAAGCATGTACTATGTTGCAAGACGTGAAGCAGAGGTGGATTGAAAGAAGCCCAGCTGGCCCGTGCCCCTTTAAAGAAAAAATGAAAAAAAATTACAATCTGAAAACACTAAATCCGGTGAGGTTGATGTGGTCTGGACCTTCCATTTCCACAATTTACTTCATGCCCTCCCTCTCCCCCCCCCCCCCCATTTAAAATTAATGGCTCTGCCATTGTGAAGCATTAGGCCTACCTGCGCTGAAGTCTTACTCTGTTTATGATGATTATTAAGTTAGATTTTCTTTATATCTTCTGTAGATCCTATTTAGTTTTAGATATGACAAAACAATAGGCTGATCCAATTTTTATCCATTTTGATTTAAAGTTGTTATGATAAAGTGAAATGATATTCATATTTGAATTTGTATCAAATATTCCAACAATAGGAGGTTAATAATGTATCAATTTTGATTTGACATTTTCCAATTTAAATCTTTAGAATAATCGTCAAAGCTTCAGTGTAGGTGATAAATGAGTGCACTATGATTAATTGTTTAATAACTCGCCATCTAATTATCTACCTCACCAACCATAAAGTATATCAATCGCTGAAAAGCTTAAGTGCAAATATTTTATTCATATCGACCTGAATTTATTCCATTAATACGACATTGATTGATGTAAAGTTAAATACATTATTTTTTGATGGATAATTTGATTATCTAAATGAATTCACTATGAGTCAGAGATGACGAGTAGAACTCCGGGTCAATACATTCTACTCAGAGGGAGTTCTCATAAGAATGTTTATTCTATCAGGAAATCAACATTTCCTGTCTAGGCTTTGCACAAGCTATATTAAAATAGTTCGGTTTGATGAAACAATGTATAACTAAATGGGAGTGGTTTAGATACTTCTCTCTTGAGTTTCAGCCCTAAGCAAGTTTCAGTTGTGAAACCAAGGAGAAATTAGGTTACTTTTATCATACCATTTAGTGAAAGTGTGTGAACTTCTTTCAGTTATAAATTTTGGGAACATTTAACTCCCTTAATGACCAGTCTCAGGAGGCTTAGCCAAGGGAGGGCTTATAGGCAAACAGTTATTACTGTATCTGTTTACAAAATCCAACCCAATGAATTCAGCGTCAACTTCTGCATAAAGATATTGAGGTGAAATTTATATCTGGTTTAAGGGGTGGAGAGAGAGGATGTTTGGTAATTGATGGCTAAATCATCTTATTGTATCATAGGTCACCATGCAAGGTTTCATTAAATAGACAATCTGTGATTATATCTGGTTTAAGGGGTGGGGAGAGAGGATGTTTGGTAATTGATGGCTAAATCATCTTATTGCATCATAGGTCACCATACAAGGTTTAATTAATTAGACAACCTGTGATTTGATTGTGCAAGGGTATATACAACCACATTTATACACAGACCTTTTTGTTCGGGCTCAGATAATATTATGAATGAGATCTTTATATTAAACTTATATATAAATATCTGCCATGTGCAGATACTATTAAGGCTTTTGAATGTATCAGAATATTTCTTTATATAATGTTTCATTAAAAATAGACATTTATTGATTGTGCAGGGCTCTGCTGCATTAAATATAGACATATAAATAGTGGCTTATGTTCAAGCTTAGATAATGTTATAAGATCTTTTACAGAATATAAAATAACTACCATCTGCTGATAAAGGCTTTTCAAATATAATTTAAATGTGCTTGTACAGGTATGTCACAAATTTAAGTTAAGATCTGTTCACATTATCAGATTTTCTTTGACAAAAGACTGTTGTATGCCCATATATTATAAAATTTGGTAGTCTGGACAGGGCTTTAAGAGAGAAGCATAGCTCATTTGGCGAAGTGGTGGTAGCCACTATTTCGTCGTTCACATCACGAACTAACACAATCAAAGTAGATTGTGTTAGTTCGTGAAATCACAGTAGCGCGTCGAAACGAGTGCATATTGGTTGTCAAGCAATTTTGTATTCTTTGCCACACAAAAAGTCCTAAACAACAACAGCGCGTATTTTGACGTGCTTTCTTGATTTCACAAACTAAAATCTACTTTGATTGTGTTAGTTTGTGATGTGAGCGACGATTTGTGCACTGAACCATGAAGATCCTTAGGTCCCTAGATTAATAACTTATCACTGCTCTTTTTGTGTTTAGGCTGGAGGTCTGAAATGTTTATTTATTGAACATAGTTCAACTTTATTGTCAACAACAATATTTATAATAATAACATAA